CAATACCCAGTATAATTCAACTGGAAATGAATTGCTTCTGGGTTCTAACTTATCTATAACCACTAGGGGGAAAAAAAGATGAGCCTTGCTGTAAACATTACAAAAAGGCAACAAAACATTAAGGTATATAAAGAATGGGCTAGAAAATAAGTACTATAGATCTATAATATTTTATAAATCAATGTCACTTTCACCTGGAATATCATCATAGATCTAAAGGCAATCCCATCTCAAAAAAAAAAAAAAAAAGTCTAAAACTATTGGCCAGATTGATTAGTGAAATGGAAGGACTTCCACAAAGAATATGAAGATTGGAATTATTAAATTTAGAGAGCAGACAAATGTAATGAAAGGTATAGCGAAAGTAAAGCAGTTGCAGTTGTTCAGCCTTTTCTAATACAAGAACTAAGTTTTAAATCTAACAGTAATGTTTTTACGTGATCTGTAATTGTGGCAGTTTCTCAGAGACATATTAAGGGCACAAGTGTAGGAATTATGACACAAGACCTCCCCCCTCCCACATACACCCACCGCTCACCCCAACCTGTGAATTAACCAGGAGATCTTGAATTATATTTTTAAAAGGCCTACAAAGAATAGAAACTAGGTCAAATTGCAAAGAATGGATATAAACAAATAAACACAGGTATGTAAGGGCAAAATCAGAAAGACCAAGGCACAAAACAAGTTTAAACTAGCTAGAGACATAAACAGTAACAAGAAAACATTCTATATAAACATTAGAAGCAAGAGGAAGACCAAGGACAAGGTAGGCCTGTTATTAAATGAAGAGGGCAAAACAAAAACAAACAAACAAAATGTGGAAATGGCGAAGGTGCTTAATGACTTTTTATTTCAGTTTTCACCACGAAAGTTGGTGGTGACTGGATGCCAACATATTGAATACCAGTGAAAATGGGATAGGTTCAGAAGAAAAAAAATAGGGGAAGAACAAGTTAAAAATTACTTAGACAAGTTAGATGTCTTCAAGTCATCAGGGCCTGATGAAATGCATTCTAGAATATTAAAGGGACTGACTAAGGAGATATCCCAGCCATTGGCTATTATCTTTGAAAAGTCACGTAAGATGGGAGAGATTCCAGAAGACTGGAAAAGGACAAATATAGTGCCCATCTATAAAAAGGGAAATAAGGAGAACCCAGGAAATTACAGACCAGTCATCTTAACTTCCGTACCAGGAAAGATAATAGACCAAATAATTAAGTAATTCATTTGCAAACATCAAAAACAGGCCTGAGCAAAATACAGCAAGCAGATCTGGCCCTCATATGCAGCACGGAGTCCCAGGCAGGCTCCCCTGCTTACCCCACAACCTCACTTATCACTCAGAAAAGTGGGAGCTCGGCTGTTTCTCTTTCAAAGCTGTGATCCTGGAGTGGAGGGAGGAGAGGCTTCAGGTGCTGTTCCCACCCCAAGCACAATCCCAATGGTCGGTTTCTGGCCAAAAATTGTTGCAAAATAAGCAAAACACTGTTGCAAAAAAGCAAAACATCATTATGGGATAGGGATGTAAAATTGCGATTAATTGGCTATTCGAATGGTCATTGCAATTTGCATCAACTATTTGATTAGTCGATAAAGGCTCCTCTGCCTTTGAAGCGTAGCAACAGGCCCAGGGCTATTGCTACACTTCAAAGGAGAAAGCACTGCAGGGAGCACGGGGCCAGCAGGGGACTTAAGCTGGCTCCCGCTGGCCCTGTACTCCCTGTGGCATTTCAAAGCATCCCAGCTCACCCTGGGCTGCATGTGGCATTTCAAAGCAGCAGCGCTGCGGGGAGCCCTGGGTCAGGCCCCAGGCTGCACGCGGCGCTGCTACTTTGAAGCACTCTTTCTGATAGAGGCAGCA